TATCACCCAGAGTTTGTCAGCCTGACAGGGTTATGGATTGGCCTACTGAAGAAGCATATAAATGGCCAGATTAGAGATGACACCCCACAAAGATGGAACTCTTTCCTTCTGGTTTAGAAATGTACTTTGGCCAAAGGCCTTGTATGCTGCAATCTCTCTGATAGACAGAATACATGAGTCCAGAACCCAAAGAACTACAAGTAGATGTACTCCACATCATCCCCAGCAATTTGTCCTTCCTATCCCCAAAATGTTAGGTTCCATGCATCAGGAAATTCTGGTATCCAGAAGGCATGCTTCCACCAAGTGGACCTAAAAGACGTATATAGAACACTCAACAACAACAGAATAAATAGTCTTCTCGACTACTCATGGAACATTCTCCAGGATAAATCATTATCCAACATAAATCATTCTTTTAGGCCAAAAAACAAATCTAAATAAACTTTAAAAGATTGAAATCATATAAACCGTATTCTCCAACCACAACTGAATTAAGCAAGAAATCAATAATAGAAGGAAAATTGGAAAATTCACAAATATGTGGAAATTAAACAACACACTCATAAACAATCAATGGGTCAAAGAAGAAATTGCAACAGAAATTAGAAAACGCTTTAAGATGAATGAAAATGAAAACACAATATACCAAAACTTATAGGATGCAGTGAAAGCAGTGCTTAGGGGGGGAATTTATAGCTGTAAATGCTTACATTAAAAAAGAAGAAAGGTCCCTGGATATTTATCCAAGGAAAATTAAAACATTAACTTGAAAAGATATCTGCACCCCAATGTTCATAGGAGCATTATCAACAGTAGCCAAGACATGGAAGCAACCTAAGTGTCCATCAATAGATGAATGCATAATCAAATGTGGTATAATATATACAATGGAATATTATTAAGCCATAAAAAAGAGAATCTTGCCATTTGTGACAACATGGGTAGACCTTGAGGGCATTATGCTAAGTGAAATACATCAGACAGAGAAAGACAAATACAGTATGATCTCACTTATATGTGAAATCTAAAAAAACCCAAAGCCAAAAAACCAACTTATAGATACAGAGAACAGATTGGTGGTTGCCACAGGTGGTGGTTGAGGGTTGAGAGAAATAGATGAAGGTAGTCAAAAGGCACAAATTTCCAGTCATAAAATAAATAAGTCGTGGGATGTAATGTACAGCATAGCTATAGTTAATAATACTATATTGTATATTTGAAAGCTGCTAAGAGAGTAGATCCTGAAGGTTCTCATCAAGAAAAAAATTGTAACTATGTATGGGGACGGATGTTACCTAGACTTACGGTGCTGATCATTCCACAATATATACAAATATAAAATCATTATGTTGTATACCTGAAACTAATATAATGTTATATGTCAATTAGAGCTCAATTAAAAAAAAAAGAAATCAACAGCCTGACTTTATACCCTAAGGAACTAGACAGAGAAGAACTACACTCAAAGCTAGTGGAAGGAAGGAAACAACAAGATTAGAGCAGAGGTAAACAAAATAGGGAATAGAAACCCAATAAAAAGAAACAAGGAAGATAAAGGGTTCTTTTAAAAGATCAGTAAAATTTAAAGCCTTTAACTAGAGTGACTAAGAAAAAAAAAAGAGAAAACAAAAATAAGTAAAATCAGAAATGAAAGTGGGAACATCACTACCAACTTTACAGGAATAAAAAGGGTTATAAGAGATACTATGAATAATTTTATGCTGACAAATTTGATAACCTAGATGAAATGGACAAATGCCTAGAAACACACAAATTACCAAAACTGATTGAAGAAGAAATAGAAAAAATGAGCATATCTATAACATGTGAGGATATTGGATCAGTAATTTTAAAAAAACTCCCAACAAAGAAAAACCCAGTACTAGACATCCTTTCCCCCTTTTGTAGTATAATCTACCCATGTAATCTCACATTTTTAACTGATTTGGATTATATACACACATAAAAAGTTATATAAAATAAAGATATTGTTCACATTTCTTAATTCCAAAAAAATAGAAGAGAAGGGAACACTTCCTGAGTCATTCTATGAGACCAGCATTATCCTGACACCAAGCCAGACAAAGACAGCACAAGAAAAGAAAACTACAAACCAATATCTCTTACGAATATAAATGCAAAAATTGTCGGAAAAAATACTAGCAAACTGAATCTAACACAATTTTAAAACAATTATACACCATGACAAAGAGAGATTAACACCAGAAATGCAAGGGTGGCTCAACGTATGAAAATATGTATGTATTAGAACATAATGTAATACACCTCATTAATAGAATGAAGGGAAAAAATCACATGATCACCATACATTAGTGATAAAAATGTTAAATGGTTCAACCACCATGGAAACAGTTTGCAGTTTCCTGAAAAAGCTAAACAGATGAAATTAAACATATGATCCAACAATTCTGCTCCTAGGTACACACTCAAAATAATTGAAAACAGGTATAAAAATAAATACTTGCACACAAATGTTCGGACTGCACTATTTGCAAGCACCAAAAGGTGGAAACAGCCCAAATGTCCATCAACAGATGACGAATGGATAAGTAAATTGTAGTATATACATACAATGGAATATTATTCAGATATAAAAATGAATGAAGTACTAATACATACTAGAACATGAATGAATCTCAGCAACCACAGAGATAACATTCTCACTTATCATTTTGGCAAAAATTCAAAAGCATAACAGCACATTCTGTTAAGGGAAACATGCGTGCTCATGTGGTATGTAGCAGGACAAAATGGTGCAACATTTATGGAGTAGAATTTGGCGATATCTAACAGAACTACGTATGAATTTACTCTTTTAATCAACAATTACTCTTTTAGAAATTTACCCTGATGCTATACCTCCAATAATACAGAAAATACACACATGATTGGTCATTGCAGCATATTTGTAACAGCAAAATCTTGGAAAATACATAAACACCCACATGTGGGAGATTGGCTGTGTGACTAGGGTGTGTGCGCACAGTGGTGAAGAATGCAGCTGTAGGAAAGGGGAAGTGGCTATGAACCGCCTTAGGGTGATTCTCAGGATATATTGTTAAATGAAAACAACAAGGTGCAAATGAGTATATTTGTGCAAGAAAAAAAGGGGAATTAAGGATTCAAGTAACTGATAATCTTACACAAAACTTTCCAAAGATTGATAAAAGAGGGCTGCTACTTGGCACATTCTATGAGGTCATTGTCAGCTTGCTACAAAACCAGGCAAGGACAGCATAAGAAAGATTACAAGCCCATTTCCCTTATGAATAAAGATGTAAAATGCCTTAAAAATAGTGTTACTGAAACTTCAGTCTCTGAACCCAATGCCAATCCAAATAACAGGAACACAGTCTTGAGTGGAAAAGGAAAGGCGTTATTTCCTTTGCGGGGCAAAGAGAGCAAAGCAAGGGCTTGTGCCTGAAAAATTGGCAGCTCGCCGTTAAGAACCACGTAGGGGTTTTTATTTGGGGTTTTAGGTAGGGGAGGGAGGCCATGGCCTTCTTGGTCAGCGTTTTCCCACGGCCTGTGTCTAGGGCTGCTTCCAGTGGAGGAGAGAAAGGATTTCTCACATGAGTGTCCTTGGCTGTTTATCTCCATGGCGGAAGGTAGACTGACGTCAGGAAGCCAAGGAGTTGGGCCTGGGAACCTTCGGTTTCTTGACATTCTCTGGACATTAGTTTCTCCGTAAAAGAACTTCAAGGTCCTGTGATTAGCTACACCTTTGGTGGGAGCCCAGTGTGAGGCCATCTGGACTTGGACAATTTGTAACTTCTATTTGGTTGTAAAGCTTAGGGAGTCAGAGGTTAAAGAAACAAACATGAGTGTAACTAAAGAAGCAGTGAAGTGGGACCGTGTGCTTTTAATTTTAACTCCATACATGCTGGGTTCACTGCAGGGGGATAAATATCACCGCTGATATTAAGGAAGAGCCGGTAACAACAGCAAACTGAACCAAACAATATAAAAACGATAATACACCATGATCACATGAGATTAGTGGAGAAATATAAGACTGGTTTACTGTTAGAAAATCTGAAATGTAATTTAGTACATTAACAGATTATGGGAGAAAAATAATACTATCATCTCAATATATGTAGGAAAAAACAATAGATATAATTTCATATAAATTAATGAAAATTTTCTTATGTCAGGAACAAGAGAATGTTCTAAATCTGATAAAAGACATTTACGAGAAACCTAAAACAGACCCTATCCGAAAGAGGAAACTTAAGAAGCTTTCATTTTAAGTCAAGTATCAGACAAGAATATTCGCTATCACCACTTCTATACAATACCATATGGAGGTGCTGCCTGCACAATGAGGCATTACGTAAAGTTTGAATAAGAAAAATACAACCATTATTATTTGCAGATTATGATTGACTACACAGAACACTAAAAAGAGCACATCAAGAAATTATGATAGGGGCCGGCCCAGTGGCTCAGCTGTTAAGTGCACACGTTCTGCTTTGGCGGCCCGGAGTCCACTGGTTCCGATCCCGAGTATGGACATGGCACCGCTTGGCAAGCCATGCTGTGATAGGCATCCCGCATATAAAGTGGAGGAAGAGGGGCACGGATGTTAGCTCAGAGTCAGTCTTCCTCACCAAAAAGAGGAGGATTGGCAGCAGATGTTAGCTCAGGGCTAATCTTCCTCAAAAAAAAAAAAAAAAGAAAGAAATTTGATAAAAGGTAGAAGGTGATAAAAGGTGGAAGCAAGGTAACAAGTTACAGATCAATATGCAAAAGTCATTTCTCTACTTTAGCAACAAACAAAAAGAAATAACTAAAAAGTTAACGATACTATCTACATTTTCATTTTTTAAATTCAAGCCTCTCTAGAAATAAATATAACAAAGACATGCCAGAACTCTACATGGCAAAAATTATAAAAATTTTGTCAAAGGACATGAACAAGACCTAGACAGATGAGAGACATAACAAGGTCAAGTTTAGGGGGATGAAAGAAGTATAGATTTGAAAACATTACCTGGCCCTGGAGTGGGCGTGGTTGGGAGGTGGCTGGATTTCTGTCAAGCCCTCCGGATTGGAATACACAGCAAAAGGCCTTGACTTTGCCCTCCTTCCCTCTCTTCTCTAAGCTGCGCCTGGTCAAACCCAGCAGTCTTGGGCCAGGACTTACTCATCTGTCCTTTCAGCAGCATGAAGCCTGTGCTGCTTCTGCAGTCCCTGCTGTTGATTCACCTAACACCACAGCTGGTCCCTGGGAGTCCCAAGCAGCATTTTATGAGTAGGTGCTGGGTCTGGGCCCAGGGGAGGGAAACAGCATCTGTGGAGATGAGAGGATCTGAGGGCTGACAGCCTGGGCACACCGCATGAAAAAATACAGTATCGGGGCCGGCCCCGTGGCCGAGTGGTTAAGTTCGCATGCACCGCTTTGGCCGCCCAGGGTTCCACCGTTCGGATCCTGGGCGTGGACATGGCACCGCTCATCAGGCCATGTTGAGGTAGCGTCCCCTGTGCCACAACTAGAAGGACCACAACTAAAATATACAACTATATACTGGGGGGATTTGGGGAGAAAAAGCAGAAAAAAAAAAAGATTGGCAACAGTTGTTAGCTCAGGTGCCAATCTTAAAAAAAAAAAGGTATCATGTTCAAGAGTCCAAGTTTTATCATCAGCAAGATCTAGGTTTGAATCCCTCCTCTGTCGCTTTCTGAGTGATCTTGGGCAGACTGTCTGGGCCTCAGGTTTTCTCTTTGTAACAGGGATAGTTGGGAGGAGAAACTGAGATAAGGCCTGCAGACACAGAGCACTCTTACTGGACCATGGCGAGTACTCAGTAAGTATTAACTACTGTAAACATTATCAGCCTCATCATCCAGCTTATTCTGACTGCTCCTGGTTCCTTCATGGATGCTTGGGCCAACTTTTCAAGTATTACAACAGAGAAGAAAATTAAGTTGGTAGAACTCAAGCTGGAAGCTACGTAATCTCAGCCTTGAAGGATGTTTTGGGAGAGGAGAAAAGAAAGTCTCACATTTTATTTCACATTTTAAAAATTCAGAGGTACCTGCACAATTACCAGTGATTAGCATCAAAGGGAAGGTATAGAGTCCATCTCAGCAGCCACCATTGCCCAGCTCAACATAACAGGAGCACTGGCCACAGTAATGCTGACCCCGACCAACGCCAAATGGGAACTGAACTCTTATTCACCATACCTGTACTCTTCTGTGGGGAGAGCATCTTCAGAATATTGGGGGCTCGGACGAGGGATATGTGTGGCATCTCATGTGTCTAGGGACACAAGGTCCTGTTTTAGGGGTCTCAGAGAGGGCATGTAGGTATGAAAGACTAAGGGAGGCTAAGCAAGCTGCAAGAGAACAGGGGTATCCAGGATAGAGTTAATTGGAGAATGAAGGACTAAAATTTGAGGAGAGACCTTCTGAAAAACCGGTAAGTGCTGTGAGTGAGATTGGGACCAGACATCCAGAAGAGGAAGAAAAACTTGAGAAGGTCAACCTCTTTGAGATCCCTGGCTCAGGACTTCCCCGCACTGTTCCACTGAGCCCCAAACTCTCCGAAGTGGGGACCAGTTCCAATTTCTCGCCCTGACCCACTGAGCTATATGGATGACTGGGAGGCCTAGGGTGAGTGCTGGGTCCTGGTCTCTGCCAAATTGTCAACAGTTTGGGCCTTGGCTTTTTTCACGCCATCTCTGGTGCCATTTGCTGTTACAATTATAGCCCCGACTTTATTCACATTTATTCCTTTCAGATAAGCATAGTTTCCTACCTTCTATTTACAAATACCTGCAGAGAAATAGATTATGGAATGCCCCACCTATGAAATTCGCCCCAAAGAAAGAGCAAGTCACAAGGTTCAAAAATTAGGGCCTGGCTGGGCTTGGATACAGGGGTTGCTGGGGCCCATCCTTAATGCTTTGGAGTTCAGGAACAGAGAAAATATTGTGAGTTTGGAGATTTGGGGCAGGATCTCCTGGTGGAGGTCATCTTGGCTTTGACCTGAGTACTGGGGGAATGGAAGGAATGAGATGTCAGCATCAAGATGCTTATTCTCCACTAACAGTAGAAACTGGGGGCATCATGGTGCTCTTGCCTCCTGATCAGTAGATACCTGGGAAGAAGGAGAAGCTGATCTTTGCATCCCATTCTGAAATACCTACCCTTCTCCCTGTGAAAGATGTCACCCCTAGAACTCATTTGTGATTCGGGTTCCGGCATTCTGATGCCAGTACCTTCAGTGGGCTGTGTGGTCTTCATCCTTTCCCAAAATCTTCCTTTCCACTCATTCTTCCTATACACAAATAAGAAGTGTTAGGTTGACCCTAGTTAAACTATATTGTTAGTGAGAGGCTGTACAACTTGCTGAGACTACAAAATGAATCAGTGCAAATGGACCTACACACCTCTCTCTTGCTCACAGCCACACACCATTCATTCCCTTGAACTGGACCCAACCAGGGTCTACAGGGACTTGGCATCTGATCTGCAAGGAATGACCAATAGGTGCAGGCTTCTGCCAAAATCTGTCTTCAATCAGATATCCAAGCCTTGGTCTTCCCTGCTGAGAACTCAGAGGGAACTCAAAATCTTATTCCACCTCCCTGTGATCACACGAGAGAGATCACGGTGGCTGGTTTCCTGGCAGTTCCTTGGGCTTTTGGAGTTCTGAATGTGACTCCAGCCTGCTGTTTCAGGCTCTTCTCTTTCCTGTTCTGTATTCCAGAGTACATCTTGGAACCTCCACCATGCAGATCGGCCCCTGAAGAGTGTACTCAATTCTGTACGTTGCAGGAAGATTGCCCAAAAGGACTTCAGTGCTGTTCTGCCTTCTGTGGGATAATCTGTACGTTAAACTACAATGTAAAACACAAAAAGTAAGGGGATTCTCCTACGCCCAGTCCTCACCCTGGAGCTGCTGGTGGGAGCTCAACAGAAGAGTCTCTTACCAGCCACTACAATAGATCTCTTTTTCTCTCTAACTCACCTTCTCTTCACCAACAATAATTTCCATAAGTGTTCTGATTAAAAGAGCCTTTCTCCACTCCTGAACTATATAATCCTTCTCTCGCCATCACCACATCTGTGAATCTCTGAATCTGCCTCTCTGAACACACTTGCAAACCCATGCATCCACTGTCCTTTCGTGGAATACACCTGTATCCTGGGGCCTGAGACACTATATCTGGGATGCAAGTGTCACCAAAATCCCAAAGCAAATTTGTTCTGTTTTTGCTTGCCATCTATCACCAAACACCATCCTTTGGCCCCCAGTGTTCCTGGGCTCTGGAGGTCCTCCAGCCAATGGAAGCTTAGGTTAGTTGCCCAGGCGTTAGCGCTGGCCCCACATCTGCTGATTTGAGGGCGCTCCAAGAGCAGAGTGCTGATGAGGCATCTGGTTTCCAATGCTATTTTGCAACTATGTCTTTCTGTGACCTTGAGTAAGACAAGTCTCCATTTTGCCTTTCTTTTTCTCACACATAAAATGAGGACTCTTTTTTTTCTAGCCTTGCAAGATTGTTATAAGGTGTAAATGAGGTCTCAAAATATCAAAGGCAGGAGAGTCAACCAGTGAGCTTCTAAACTGTCTTCTTCTCTGCCATATTCCCTGCCCTGAGCATGATGCCCAACATATAAGACAAGGTACAGAGTGATTAATTATGGGGCCAGGGCCAAATATCTGGACGCAAATCCTGGTTCTACCACTTCTTAGCTGAGTGACCTCAGACAAGTTAATCAACCTCTCCCTGGGCATCAGCTTTCTCATCTTTCAGACTCGAACAATAAAAGTAAGGTTAAAATAGATAACCCATGCAATCTCTAAAAACATTGCTTGCCACATAACAGTGACTCAATAAATTTTAGCAATTAGGCAACCACTTTGCTCTCAAGACTGGCCCTTGCAATTAAACTCCACATCTTTCAAGACTCTGCACGGGAATGCAGAAGCATACATGTGACTCTTGGTTGTCACTGGGTTCTCTGAGGTTCTGCTTTCCCTATGGCAGCAGAACTTAGCTTCCTAGTCTCGTTTTAATGATGGAAGTAATGGAAAATAAAAAATTATATCTTTAAGGACAAAACTTCACCAGATTATATTTGAAAATATTTTTCTTCTATAGAACCAAACAGAGGGCTTTGGGAAACATCACGGCTGGCAACTGAGGCATGTTTCCCAGAGCATTTGGTAAGGATCAGGGTTTGGCCTGGCATTTCTGGTGTGAGTTTTCCCAGTTTTCCTCCTCTAGCCTCTCTAGGTCTGATATTCCCACAAGGTCAGAATAGCCGTTTGTCATCCAGATCACACCCTCCTCCACTATCCCCTCTTGGGGCTATGTTCTCACTCCCTGGGGGAGGATGAGGTCCAGGGTGAGTTCTGCAACACAGAGCAACATAAGAGGGCCGAGTCATTGCCTAGGGGGAACACAAGGTACTCAGATCTGAGCCTTTGCCAGGAAACAGGCTGTGCCGGCCTGCAGGTTGACAATGCCCTGGGCAGTGAGTCGAGCTGAGCCTTTCACGCTCTGTGTGGCTTTGGTCAGCTCACTCTACATCTCTGAGACCATCAGCTTCCTCATGTAAAAGATGAAGAGGTTCCCATGCCCCTGGTTTGTGAGGCTTACATGAGGCCATGTGGAATGGAAGAACTCAGTCATTGCAAAGACTCTGCAAAGGTTAGAAGCTGCCAGCAACCCACTCTCTGGGTTCCAGATTTTTCCTCTTTAAAAAAACGGATGGTCTTTATTATTTTACCACTGTTACAAGAAAGGTGGGCAAAATGAAGTGCTTTGTAACTCCACCACCAAATCCAAGCTACCACTCAGAACTTGGTGGATTTTGTTGCAGACTGAAAAGATAATGATGAGCTTAGGGTCTTCTAACAGTCCTTCTGAAGTCACCAGAGATTCCAAGTTTAGGACGGTGGTATGTATTTCAGCTTAGACAGTCCTTTTATTAATCTTGTACAAAGGAATTCGATAAACGGTAGCAAGTGGAGGAGTTTAAGTGCATGAGCACCACTTTCACCCTTGCTCAGGCTCTGCTGAGTCTGCTATGCTAACTTTCTCTGCACCTTCTACACAATTAACTGCTCAGGCCACACACTGGCCATCAATCAATGCATCACCATTGTTACTACTCCAGAGCCCAGGCAGCAGGAAGACACTGAGCTCATAGTAGGAACCCAAGTATTATATCCAGGTAAAAGGCTAACTAAAGGTGGCTGGGGCAACCATATCAGGTCCTTTTATTGCAGTATTGCAGGGTCACATGGCTGCAGGTATATAAGCCTTAGTAAGCCTCATGCCGACGCACTGCTCAAAGAAGCAGGACTTCACCTTGAAGAGTCAGAAGAACATTGCCGTAAATCTGAGTTTGTCTCCGATGGACACGGGCACTCCCATTCTGCTATCTCCTGGTAGGGTTGGCTAAGCCTGTCCTTTGATGTATTGCATTAACTGTAATGGCTGTTAGATCCATGTGTGGAGTGTTTGCTCTCCCTGGTCCTGCAGTCTGTCTTCCGCAGAACGGTTCCTCTCAACTGACCATTGCTGCTCTGGAGACCCTGGTGCTGGCTGAGAAGTCCAGGTGAGGTAGGAGATGGCAGTGCCAGTGAGGACTTGAGAAAAATGCTGCTCTTGTTCCCAGAAAGTGAAGTGTTGAGTTTCCTGTGGCGACGTGGAATGGAAGACAGAACAGCCCAGGCAGAACTTGTCACAGTCTTCCACGAAACCTGGGTTCGGGTGGGTGTTGTCAAGGGCTTCCAACTTTTTAAATGTGAACTAACATTTTAGCCATGACATGCTGCATCTCACTTGGTCCTCACACTAACCATAATGCCCAGTTTACAGACAAGGAAACTGAGGATCATAGAGTTAAAGTCATATGCTCAGCATTAGCCAACTGGTCAATGGTGGAGCTGGAATATAAACCCGAGGCTTGGGATGCCTTCTTCCCAAGGGATTGCCATCTTGGGTGGCTCAGTTCACTTCTGTTGAGAGGATTTTCACCTTTTCCTGTTTCCACTGAATTTTTCCATTGATGATCTTTCCCCTACTTTCAACGTAGGCCTCATAACTCCTCATTCTCTTTCACACTTAGAAACCTGCCTCCCTCCACTTGTTCTCTCTCCAAGGTCCCATGTGCTTCTTCCTCTACGCTCTAACTCTAGCTCTGCTCTCTGCCCAGAATGTCTTTCTCCCACTTTTCCAATGAGCTCCACTCGTGCTTCAAGTTTCATATTAAATAAAAATCTCCATGGAAGCTTCATCAATTCACCCTGACGGAAGGGGTGACTCTCTTAGTCCTTTCCAAGCACAATATCTTGACTCTACTTTAAACTTTGTCACACTGTAATGTACTTATTTAACTTAGTATTTTCTCTGTCTAGATTTCGAGTCTCATAAAAGCAAGCACTGTGTCTGACTTCTTTGCCACAGAACCCTAGAACCTAACACTGCCTTGAATGTAGTGAGGATACAATTCTGACTTTTCGAATAGGCTGAGAAAAAAAAGGAGGCTGGCAAGGAGTAGACTAATCCTAACATTTGATGAATTGTTTTAACAAAGAAAGTCTTGCCTGCATAGTCCAGAACCTCTCAGACCTTGGCTGCCTACTTCACTTTTGCTTGATAAACTCTGCCTCCTTTTATAAATTATTTTTCTTAAAGACTAATTTGTAAATTTGAAAACAGAATAGGCTGAAAACCACAACAGAAGCTTGGAAATATCTGTTAACAGCGGGTAATAGGATAGAGTAAGGGCGAAGGGTCCTGGCTGCTCTGGGACTCAGTCTGGCTCTGCCCTTGCTGACCTGGTGATGCTGGGTATCTCCAACTCCTCAGGGCCCCCATCTCTTCATCTGTAAGTGGAGCTGAATAACATCTACCCGGAGGTGTGTTGTGAGACAAAATGAGATGACACACAGGTTAAGCACATACCACGGTGCCTGGAAGAGTCTAAGGAGAATGTTACTAGCATTATTCGTGTCTTCTCAGTCCTTCCTTTATCCAAAATTCTTGTTTTATAAAGGAATCAAAGTGTACATTCCACCTTAAACTCCACGTTTTTAAAAAATTTCTCTAGGTCCCATATAAATTATGGGACTCAAAGAAGACAAGCACCGTGTTTCCCATCTTTGAAATATCTTCTTAGAGAGAACAAGGCACAGTTATGGAAAGTACTTCATCCCTGAAAGATCACATGGTTAAACCACATGAGGAAGGATCAGCTAATTTAACAATGATCTCAGTTCCTCTACTAATCTCCAGCAACTGTGGAAAATGTTTCTTCCCCCTGCAAATCCCAGGTGAATGTTACCAACTTGGAAATTCGTGGTCACCTAATCTCACAATTCCACTTCCCCCCACCACATCCCTCCCCAAATGAACTTTTTTCAAGATAAACTTATCACAATTCCATGTCCTACTCCTCTCTTCTGTGACACATTTCTCATCTGGCTGATCCCTCGTGACTCCTGGCCCAGAGCTAGAAATGCCTTCCAGAAAATTCTGCAGGTTCCTTTACCACCATGAGCTGACCAGATGTGGTTCAAGTTGACCTAGTGAGCCAGGCTCCTCACATTAAGATTGGCCCATTTGAATTGCAGCTATCACTGTTTTAGTCATCTCAGCTTGATCTGTCCATTACTAAAGGCACTGGTCACAAGAGGCTACTTAAATTTACAATTCAATAAAATAAAACATACCATCAGCTCCAGTCTCACTAGTCACATTTCAAGAACTCAATTACCTCATGTGGCTCAAGGCTTTAAACAATGCAGACGTAGAACATTTCCATCATCGCAGAAAGCATATTGGAAAGCATTGCTTTGAGCTACAAAAAGCTGATGTCAAAATAATAATGGCTAAGTAAAGATAATGACGTGAGAGAATTTTACAGGGGTTTAATATTATAGAATTTTTTTTACATTTAGTGTATTAGTATTTATTTCCAATTACTTGTGAAGAATTAAAATTCCCAAGATATGTACTGATCATTGAAGCATGTATTTGAACTTTTTACTCTGGGTATGAGTGTAATATG